AATAATTACGCGGGTGGCCCGCGAGAATCTGTTTTACATGCTGCTGCATAATAACTATGATTTTCTTTCTCTCTCTCTCTCTCTCTCTCTCAATCTTTTTGTTTTGTTTTTTTCCCCTCCCCCTTTCACTCTTTTTGTCTCTCGACAGACTTGCGTGCTCCAATTCTCTATGGAAAGGGTGGAGATGTGCGAGTATCTCTCGCGTCAAAAAGCTCACTGCACGAGAAATGAAACCTGCAATCACCGTCCGAGAAAAACGCGATACTTTCACCGATCGTTATATCTCTCTCACTCTTTCTTTATTTCATACACACCTTATTGTTCTACCTTTTCAACGTGTTTCATATGTACGAATCTACATAACAAGAGATTATGCACTCGTTTTTTTTTTTTTGGATAAAAATATATACGTATACGTAACCATGGTAATTCCATTTTAAGTTCAGTCATTTTGTGGATGTCAATCATTTTGATTTTTAACACCTCGACTGACAAGTATTATATTAAATATTTTTTCAAAAAAAAATATATATATATATATAGAATTTATATTTGTTAAATATTATAAGTTATATTGTTGAACGAAATAGGATTTTTAATAATTTTATTTATGAAATATACTTGCAAGCTTCCCTTGTTGTTATTTCAATAACACTCCTATCATATTCACGTCAACAATTTATTAAAAAAACAAATTTATTATTACAATATGCAAATCGTCAGTCGTTAAAATAGAATTACACGAAAGTTTAAGATTTTCTTTCGTTTATACAAACCGGAAGAATTCGAATAAGAAACTTGCAATTTCTTACTTACAACTAACTGTATCCAATCTCATGAGAAAGAAGAAGATTCAGCAAGTAGAGAGAGCCTTATCTCACTCGAACCAGTTTAATGCATATACATATACATATATATATATCTGTAACTCTCCGATAGAGAAGAAGAATAACAAGAAGAATAAGAGAACGTATAAAGCCGTCGATGCACATGGATTTATGCCAAGTTCTCTTTCCTCTTCTTCTCTCAACTATACATCTATACTTGTTTTCTTTATCTCATTTTCTCACAGACACTTCTTACGCGGAACGCAGATGCGTCACGCACGCGAGAATCGAATGCAAGCGAGCTACGTAATCCTTTCTGGCTACTAATAGCAGACGGGAATCGTGAATTCAATTGCTCCTGAATTGATGCTGCAGCAACGGCGGCACAAGCAACATCGACTGAGTGAGATAGAAGAGAAAAAGAAAGATAAAGTATTTAAGTGAAATAAAGATAGAAAGAGAAGGAGAGAGAGATACACGCGAGTCGAGTCCGTCGAATGCAGCACCAAGCACGTACGTTTAATCGTAGGTGAAAGAGGAAGGTGGTCCCCGGTGTACCGTTTCTTATGGGTGCATTCGTTTGAAGAAGAGAGAGAGAGAGAGAGAGAGAGAGAGAGAGACAGAGAGAAGGATGGAACGAGAGTGTCGACAGGATTTTATAGAAGAACAAAAGATTGCAAGAAAACCGACGGACGTTGGTTAGGGTTAAATGTTCTCTTCAACGTTTTTAACCGATTACTATAATATACGCGTGTATATAAGTTTTATATGTTTCATTATATTATACTCGTTAATATATAATTTATTCTTTTTTGTTTTTTTTTTTTGGAAATATATTTTATGTCATATTACCTTTTATCTCATGTATATACGATATTATATTATATTATCACAATTATGTACGATATTTATTATATTTCATATGTATAATATAAAATATATTTTATATATCTCAACTATATATATTTGATATTATATTATTACAATTATACACGATATTTATTATATTTTATATGTATAATATAAAATATATTTTATCTCAACTATATTTGAGATATTATATTATCACAATTATATACGATATTTTATATTTTTCCTTGATGTCAAAATACTTGGGCGAATCTAATTGATAAAAATTACATTTGATTTTAACGAGAGAGAGAATACATACGATATGAAAATAATTTGCTATATGAAATAGTTTTGTGAAACGGCAGTAATACAAATGACCGTTAAAAATCGATTAGTTTAGGAAGATTTCTCTTGGTAGAAGATTCCAAGCATCATCCAACACAAGTCGACGTCGTTCGTTCGTTCGTTCGTTCGTTCGTTCGTTCGTCGTTTGATCGAGCATGGAAGATACCAAGCCAGGCGGTGGTATTACCAAGCACCCAAGCAGCAAGTGGAGATGCCGATCCTTCTGCTCGTTTCTATACTCGTTGTACGAATGCGGAGAAGCGTAACCATAATCTTGCCGCGTCATGTGGACGGTGTGCGACCGACCCGGTACAAGTAGAAGACCATCAAGAACCGAAGAGAGAATAATGGATTCGCGAGACTGAGCGATAATGGTCGTATAACGAGGTACAGCATGGTTAAAAACCTTTCTACTTTCCTATTCTTACTTTCTGTCTTTTACTAGGATGTTCCTCTGGCCACGCGTTACTGTGACTTTGTTAGAAAATGTTGATTTATAATACAATTCTAAATTATTTAGTAAGTCATAACAACACACTAAAATATTATCACGATTACAATGGAATAAATAAACTAATAATCACGAAAAAGTAAGTTTATGTTGTACGTAAATTGAAATAATTGAATTGAAATACGACACCATTTATTAAATACTTAAACTACCTAGAGACCTAGATAACTTCTAAATAATAAATCCTTAAATTAGCAATAAAAAATAAAATTAATAGTCCAACTATTAGAAACTTTGGAAAGTACATATTTCGCGTGCCATACCTTTCCCTTTTGCGGTATAAGAATATGTTTGGGCAAATGAAAAAAGATATTGCCGCACCCCCAAAGCAACGTAGGCACACGTTGCCTGGTGTAAGATGACACCACAAGCTCTAAGTCTTTTCAGTTCTCAGACGAGTATACCGCCCACCAAGAGACAAACGGGACATCCCTCATTCGACTAAACTCTGTTAAAACAGAGTCTCTCAAGATTCGAAACTTGTTAAAATTTTCGTTGACTTACTTTCTTGTTAAAAAAGATGTTGTCGAATAGAAAAAAAAAAAGAAAAGAAGAAGAAATGATATTTAGATGAGCCAAATTGGTTGTTACGACCAAAACCTTTTTCCGGCATCTTGCCAAAAGTCTGTGAACTTTGAACTGTGGTGAAAATAAACGGGGGAGGAAAAATATAAAGGTAGATCGTAATACAATAAGTATGATATCAATGGAAGGTACTTTTTTTGGGGGAGGAGGGAAAAAGAAATGTTTTTGAGAACCTCTGCTAGGTAGAGTCGCAGGAGGAACCGCGACGAGGCGCCACGGGGATGTCGCCGGACGAGTTGTCCTCTTGTCTTCCAGCCACTCCCATTTTCAGCTACCGAGTTACTGCCACTCTGTCAATCCGGTACGACTCGAACGAGCAAAGGAAGAAGCAGCTCTGACAGCGTATGACTTCTCGGAACCGTTCCCTTTTACTGGGAGAAAGAAAATCTGCCCAAAGGCGAGGAAGAAGAAGAGTCCGTGTACTCACATCGTACGAGTTTACTTGAGAAAGCTCACGGCCATTTTAACGTCTTGCAATAAATTATTATTAATTGCAAACGCTACCGGTTTCAGCTTACCTTTCAAGATACTAAACAGTTTTGCCGCGAGGTATCATCACAGACCAGAACTTTTCTAACGATCGTACAATAACATTCTAGAAAATGTAAAAAAGAAAATCTAATTCCAAGAATATATAAGTATGTTCTTTTTCCATTAGAAAAAGAAGATGTTATACGTTTCGATTACTATTCACAGATTAAAAAAGAAGATTATATTGAGCTGGATATTTGCTAAGCCTTCATTACACAATATTTTCATAAATAAAAAACCTAGCCAACAACAAAGGGCCCTAGAATATTGATCAATATTGCAAACCATTGCTTCGATCTTTCATGGTACACAATCTGAAAGGCTTTATTCCTTTAAGCCGCTTAAAGACCGTCTCTCACGGCATCTCATTTGAATAAGACAAATGAAGACATCTCTAAGGTGGACGGCGATGGAACGATGAAGCTGATACAGGAGATTGGCTCCGTGGCGGATCACCTACGGCGTACCTTGGCGATACATCGACAACGAACCAAGCAACGACTGCACACCGATTGATTACGATCGTTATCAAGACAATAGCTAACACGAGCTTACACTAACGACACGCCGAGTTAACTTCAGAATCGGACGATTACGATCGTAGTATATGCCGACTAACAAGATCGAATTTTTTCATTTTACCGGATGAAAACTGATCCCACTACGTTCGTCGTTACACCCACGCTAGACAAACGCGTAAATTTTTCATCGACCGTCTCGCCAGATTGAAAAATCTTCGAAATGTTTGACCTCTCCTATGAATCTTACAAAACCTGTATATATACTGATAGAAAAAGATATATCGATAGATCAATTTTCATCGAAACATTATCGAAACTGAGATTGAATTTTAAAGTCAGGTAGAAAACTTTGTTTAACATTTTCTATATATATAGGAAGATACTTGGTTATATATAGAAATATCGAAGACAAGTTTGATACCACTAGGAAAAGCTTTTACCTTTCATAAATATTTCATCATATAACGTTGCGCATTCATGTAGGTTTACCTAAGACATTTGGAGATAGAGTTGATATTCTCGTGTTAGTCGGTCCAGTCGTCGTTTCTCGGATGAGATCAACCACTACCAAGCAGAAGGTATCAGTCGGTTCGTAGGGGGGTTGTGTTTTTCCACCCCTAACGTTGCATACTCCTTACTCGCCATCTGCTGGATGTTGCAGGAAGCGTGGGAGATGTATTGAACAGGCAGGATGCGCGTGGAAAGATGCGCGAATATTCGTGAATTCCCGGCACAGCACAGCACAGGAGCGCAGTTCTCGCGCAATAAAGTAAAAAAGGGGGAATAAGGGGGTGGTGGTGGTGAAGGGGAAGAAGCGAGAGAGGAAACCGGGCAAGCGTCCTAATCCTCTCGGACGGCGAACAGAAGCAGACTCGATTAATAGTCGTGGCTCGTGAGAGAATCGACGAACAACCAGCTCTAGCGTCCTTGGTGTCGTCTTCTTGGGGAGTTGCGCGGGAGCTTGAAAAACCCATCGGTTTGACTGTTTGAACTCGAACACGTCTAACGCGGAACGTCGTCGTAGATGGAACGAAGAATACTCATCGTTGTCTTTGCGTCGTCTAACTTACGTTACGACATCGAGTGAGAAACTAATCTAAAAACAGGGGAACAATATTATTGTCATGTGAGGAATACGTATCTTTATATATAAAACAACAACAACAACAACAAAAAACGGGATTGTAGATCGAGTCATTTCGTTACGTTCGTTTTTTGATCGTTGATAAGAGTGTACACAGACATACACACGAGTACTTGAATAAGAAGAGGCCACCTTTGATTCTTAAATCAACGAATATACAAAGAAGAAACCACAAGTATGAAGACGAGCGCTATTATTCTGTTGTTATTCTTGTGCCTGCAATTTTTAGCCTCGGAGTCTAAGTTACGTCAACAGACAACGACTGTCGAGGCGACGGACGACGACGACGACGATTGGGACGAAGACGAAGACGATGATGACGATGATGACGACAACGACGAAGACGATAACGAAAGTTATCATCCGAAATCTGAGATAGATGATGATGGACGTGTCTATAAGAATCCAAGAAATTCACCGTCCGCTAAATGCCCGCGAGATCAGGACCTAGCTACTATGTTGGGTCAAAAGTGCCTGAGAAAATGTTCTACCGATGAGGATTGTAAAAGTAAAAAGAAGAAATGTAGATGCGACGGTGCGTGTGGTATGTCATGCATTAAACCAGACAGAGAGTGTCCACTGTTATCCGATATTGAAAACGGTGTTTTGACACTAACCGGACGATATTTCGGTGATCGGGCACGTTACACTTGCGATACAGATTTCTTTACTGTCGGCTTGTCCGAAAGGACTTGCCGTGCCGATGGAGTCTGGACTGGTTCTACTCCGTCCTGTAAGAGGAATCAAAGTTCCTTCTGCTCGCAGCCGCCCAAAATTAAAAATGCCAGAAACGATGCATTGTCCGAACAAACAACTTATGATCAAAACAGTATAGTCTCATATTATTGTAATCATGGATATGTTATAGCCGGTGCAAGGAAATCTAAATGTGTTGTGATGGATGGTATTGCCAGTTGGTTCGGTCCCGATATCACCTGCGAACCACAAAACTGTGGTCCGCCGGCGGACATCGCCAATGGATGGCACGCTGGTACGTTTTACATTTTCATACTTTTCTATTTTAAATGAAATATCAAAGACATTCTTTCTTTTTATCAATGTTCTTGAAACATATATGTTTCATTGAAATTATCAATTATTTTTTATGTTGAATATCATTGAAATTAAATATATTCTTATATAAGTTTTCACTGTCAAACTTGGTTTGCTAACAAATGAGAAATTCTTTGAATTAATCTATTTAATGTTTTTAACGTATTCACTGTTACGTTTCCAACATAGATCATTTTGTATTTATACATGTTTTCTTAAGGTGAATGTTACACGTACGATTGTCGCGTGTCCTATCATTGTGCAAACGAATACGAATTGATTGGTCGTGCTGAAAAGATATGTTTGGCTGATGGTACTTGGATGCCTAAAGAGTCACCGCAATGCGTTCAAGTAAGAATTCGAACTTAGTAATTTCATTAATGTAAATGTCATGTAAAAAGAAACGGCAAAAAAATATTGGAACGATAAGAGTTAAAGTAATTGGTTCGTAGCGCGTGGAGTATTATCAGAGTAAAAAAAAAAAACGAAAAATGTAACTTTTCTAGGTAACATCCGTACAGTGTCCTAAACCAGAAAATCCCGAAAATGGAAAAGCTGTCTTTACATCCTATGCTTATAACTCGATAGTTTCTTACGAGTGTAAATACGGTTATACTGTTGTGGGAGCGGCGACCAGACGTTGTGGAGCAGATAGAAAATGGACAGGAAAAACGCCCACCTGTCAAGAGATTAATTGCGGTTCGCCGGGGGTTCTTTATAACGGTTGGATAGAAAATATCGAATTAGGTGAGTCGAATATATCCACTATATACACTGATATATGCCAGGTTATATCCATACGCTCGGTTAAAGCGTTTCTTCATCGTTGAACCGTGTTCCGTGCTAACACAAATGTTCGCTGGACCATTCGATCTATCTATCTTTAAATAAAAATAAAATTCGACGATTATATTTTTATGATCGTACGATTAACGGATAATAATATACATCGATAATATTGACAGGTACTGGATTAGGTGCAAGCATAATCTTCCGTTGCAACGATCATATGAAACTCGAAGGAAACGCATCTTCCGTCTGCCAAGCGGAAGGAAAGTGGCGTTATCCTTTGCCGCAATGTTTGGCTCCTTGCGTAGTACCACAAATTGAAAATGGACATATAACTGTTGCCAGCCACGAGAAGGATCATATTAATAATGTCTCAGTTGTAGAACACGGCGAGAGATTATTGGTATCATGCGTTAAAAATTACGAATTCGCAGCTAACAGTACACCGGTTGTGTGCAACAATGGAACTTGGTCAATAGTACCGAGTTGTTCGCCAGCCAGGTGCAAGCGAATGCCAAAGTCACCCAAAAATGGGATGGTCATAGCTCCTAAGACGGATCATGGTATGAAAGCTGTTTTTAAATGCAAGGATGGTTTTGAATTGGTTGGTGGTGGCCCTTTGAACGCATCTTTCTCTGTGGAATGTCAATATGGTAACTGGACTGGTGACATACCTCACTGCGTTCAAGTATTTTGTCCGTTTCCTGGTTTTATTGAAAATGGAAAAGTATTTTTGGTCGGCAATATGGGGGTTTACGATTATCGGCCTTACGTTAGAAAGGTTGTTAATAATAAACAAATCATGTACGACTGTGACAAGGGTTATGTTCTCGATGAAGGACCTAACGGTGCTACTTGCATCGGTGGAAAATGGAGTCCTCAAGAATTACCCAAATGTATTCCTGGTCAACATCCTAGATTGAGGTGGAGTAGACGTCGAAGATCAATAGCCGATGCTACCGAGGAAGACATTGCTGCTAATTACAAGTAAGATTATTTTTATAATTAATAATCAACGATATTTAATCAATATTAATTATCAAAAATATGTATTATATTATTTTCAGAAAATTCATCGAGTTTTTCAGAAAGGTCGGTAAAAAATTGTTGCATTTGGAATCGATCAAGGCACGAGATCACGAAAAACGTCCAGGTGGTTTCAATGGATCATCCAAAGAAAACGACGAAAATACTAATTCAACGGTATCCGTTCAATGGAAAAAACAACATTCTAATCATGGAAACGGTACTTGGAATCGCGACGAAAAGATCATTGATTTCTTACGAATGGTTTATAAAAAATTAGAACGCATGGATGCCAGGCAACCGAGTAACAATACGAACGGTAGCATGCACGAGTTGTTAAATGCCATGAGTAAAAATTTCTTTCACGTTGATTTGACGGAATCGAGAAAGAACGGATCCGGTAGGGGTAGATCAGTTTTCGAAATAAGAAATCAAAGAGAGTTTATAAGACTGAAAAGAGAATTCGAAAGAATAATGAGATTTTATAATAAATCAATAAGATGGAATGAAAAACAAAATCGCAAAGAGTCGAGAAAGAAAAATGGTCAATCGTCTCACGGTGATAAGAATAAAAAATCTAAGGATAAGAAGAAACGTAAGAAGAATTATTACAAAGGTTTTTACGATTTTGTTAATAGTTACGTGTCGGAAAAATTGTCAATGTTAGAGGCACGCAACGCGACTGAGGAATTAATCAAAAAAATGAAGATCGATAAGTTTACTGTTAGGAATGGTACAGCGTTTACCGTTGGCGAAATGTACGCATTTTTCAAACATATCATAGAAAATAAATTAAATACTACGGAAGAAAATTCAGTAACGGAAACAACGACGTTCATAACGCCAACGTCGGATATTGATTTTAACGATACCGTAGTTACAACGTCAACTACGTCAACCAAAGACAATCTACTATTGAATAATGAGATTCCAATTAAGGAAGGTGCACCGAAGCATCGTAGTAAACGTATTAGAAACGCATCGGATGATTCGAATGTTACTCGTAAAAAAAGGAAGCTTTTATCATTGAATAACGTATCGTCGTCGTCGTCGTCGTCGTCGTCTTCGTCGTCGTCGAGTCTTCAAACGAGATCTAAGATTAAAGAAGAAGACGAAACTTTAAAGGTTGCTGATGACGGATTGAACAACAACTCACAAGGATTTACTTTGAACGAACTGGAAGCTCAACAGCAAAGCCGTGCTAAGAGATTTATCAAAGCTTCTGAGCTAGATAATCAAATATTCTTAAAGAACTTGTATTTAAACGCTTACGAGAAAGAATATCGTGCAAATGTTAAACGTTCGATAGAAAATAATGATCATACGAAAAATAGTTGGTCGGCTTCGAGAAGGCGCAAGGGTAATCTCGATATTTATGAGATCAAGTGATGAAGTTACTGAAGTGTTGTGATATTAACGGGAATTTATTCAAATCATTTACCGATATCAATCGAATTTTTAGGTGAAGTATACACACTCACAAAACACATTAACACATTCACACAATTATACGATATATTTAGCTGTAATCGTCGTCCCTCGTCATCGGTGCGCACTGTAAAGCGCGTCGAGCTTTTACTTTCTTTCCAAATGAGAAAGGGAAACATGGAACGTGAAGAAAATAGAAGAGAAACGAGAAAATGAAAAAAAATGAAAATGCAAAAAAAAAAAGAAAAGGGAAAGAAATCAAAAAAAAAAAAAAAAGATAGAACTTAAGATATTAATAAATAAAATCTTTTTCCATTGCCACAGTCCCCAGTTCGCTCTTAAAAAAAAAAAAAGGCCAATTATGCCGAGTTAGGTTTCTGTGTGTCTAATCTAAGAAATACGCATAGTAGAAAAAAAAATCATTTGTAGATGTGTATCAACGTGTCATTGTACACTTAGGACATTGATGAGGAAAAGTAAAGAAAAAAAAAAAAAAAAACATTCGATCGAAAGCGTAAAAAAGAAAAAAAAGAAAAATTAAAAAAAAAAAAGAGAAGAATTTCAGGAGTCAAAGTTTACAATTAGAAAACGTATTTCACTTCTTCTAAATAATATTCAAACTTTTTCTCTTAATCTTCGTAGATTACATGAAACACAAATCCCCCAATCCTATAGTGTGAATTTATAAATAAGTCCGATATCCTCCTTTTTCCGATTAAAATGATTGACTAAAATGAATTTATGAAATAGCGCAAGATTACAATACTCATGATTTTTGTATTTCGTGCGTTTTAAAAGGCCGCATTATTATTCGATGTACCTTGTAATACGCAAATTATAAAAATTAATAAGAGAATGAGTGTTAAACCAAAAAGATGTCCCTTCATAATCAAATATAACAAAACAAAAAATAAAATATCCGTTCGAAGACAGCTTGAGCAGTAAGAAGGAGAAGAAGAAGAAGAAGGAAGAAGAAGTCGAAGTTGATTTTGTTCTCTCTTTTTATCTTATTGAAAAATCATTTAAATAGTTGGGTTTATGGAAGAGGGGATAGGTGGGAAGGGGAGGAATGGGATATCCTTTAAGATCGATCGGCCAGGTAACGGTGATTACGCGGACAACACCTTGGGTTAATTAAGTCTCGAAAAAATCGTCGTTGGTTGTAGTGGTGAAGTATTCCTTGGGGAGGGAGATAGGGACTTCTGTTGAAACTCTGCGTAACACGGGACACGGTTGGTGGAAGAGGAGGATGAGGAGGAGGAGACGTGATTCTGGACCACCTGTCAATATCGTGCTTCCCATTAATTACAGAGCAATTATAATTCATGAATGCTCGCGAGACCTTGTACGATTTTATCTGCGACAACGTGCTCGTTAACACGTCCACGGTGTGAACCGGACTTATATACAAAGATTTAAAGCTCGATTAAATACGAAACAAGAAGCGCGTATAACGATTATAATCGTACGCGAATCAAATTTAGATAAAGATTATTGTTGAAAGTCTAATAACGCTTCAAGTACTCGTCATCTACGCGATTAGATTATTACATTTGGTTTGAATGGATATAATCAACTGAATAATAATTCTATATTTATAAAGAAATCATTTTATCGTAGATTTATTAGTTCATTATTTGCAAATAACAATGTACATGCTAAAAATTACATTAAATGAGAAAGAAAAATAAAATGAGATAGGAAGCACGCGTTAAATTTTAATTTCAGCAATAAGCTAATTATACGAGGTCGAGCTATTTAACATCAAAGTGTGGGACACCGTGTGCAAATCGATAAGTGTACACGGGGCAACGTACCTTATCCAACCATGAACATCGGAAAGTGTCTTTTCTCCTTGTGTGCGCCTGCGTTCAAACGAAAAAATAAAGAAGAAAAAAAAATAGAGAGAAAAAGTAAAATGTGATAGTTGCATGCACCACTAATTCGTTTAGTCGATAGAACATGTGTGAGTGAGAAAGAGAGGGATTTTTCTCTCTATTGCGGTAAGCATTATTCCAGTTCATACGACGATGATTATGCGGTCAGTTGATACCAGTCGCTAAATGCGCTAATCGCGAGAGAGTTCATGGTAAACACCGAGAGCCGCCTACTTCGTGTTCCTCGTCTATTAGAACCCTGTTACGTGCCGTGCCGTCTTCTATGCAAATGAATCTACGAAAGTATGTTAATAATCTCTAAACAAACGCGTAAAATATAAGACATACCGACGCGTTAAACTTTTAGTATCGTCCTAGCTAATAAGAACTATTTAAAATATCTCGTCTACTACCTATACTTATTTCTTCTTCATTCTAATCAGAATCACACGTATGATATCTATTATTATAATAATGATAATGATAATAATAATAATATTATAATAAAGAAAATGATTTAAAAAGATTTTCTCATTTCAATATATAGAAATACAATATAGATAAACTAATGCTATTTAAATTAATTGAAAAAAAAAAAAAAATGTTAGGGAATAATAACGATAGCTAGAATATAAAACTTGCAATGATATAATCGCGAAAGATCACATAATCATCATAGTAGTAGAAGCTGTTTGAAAGTTAAAAGTGAGAGAAGTTAGATAGAAGTCCGGTGAGAGACGTCCTCGAGACTTTCGTAGAAGCCATTTGCATCGTAGAATAGTCGAGGAACTCGTGTTGGTACAGTAGCTCTTGACAATGGAGAATGAAGTCGGTGTCTTGTAGAAGAGGACCCAAGAACCGATGATAATCTCATTGAAAGGGGGAGTTAAGCGACGCGGGCTTCCTGCCAATTCACTCGAGCCAAGTGTCGCTTTACCGCAGTCAATGCTTGCTACGAAATTGCTCCCAACTATCGTTCTTCTACACGTTACTCTCTCTCTCTCTCTCTCTCTCAATGAACAAACCTGCTACTATTTTTCTCTTAAAGGAGAAGAAATAGAAGAAATAGAAAAAGAAATAAAAGAAAAACGGGAGAAGGATTTGTCGAGATAAGCGGCAACGATAGTCGTCGGGTGCTTTGGTAAAAGCACCGAACCAAGGAAAATTCTCTTAAGTTAGCAAGAAAAGAAAATTTCTACGTCAACCATTATTGTGTTCAACCACTACCCCTTATTTCTATGGATATATTTTCTTTCAATGTACTCCGAATGAATTACAATATAGATTTGCCGCAAGGTAGAAAAGGGGTTTTTAAAAGGAACCCCTTTCTTCCCGACGATAGCTGAAAATCCAATTGGTAGTGGTAGTAGTAGTAGTAGTAGTTATACGAAGAAATTTATCCTTACCGCCGGAAAACGTTTTGACTCGTAACCATTCAACATTCTCGAACGTGTGAATGAACGAAAAGGGTTTAGTATTGGTTGCCCACTGACTGAATGAAATTCTACTTCGATCGTGACTATTCTCATCTCTCTCACTTTCTTTCTTTCTTTCTTTTCAAAACGGATATGTCGTGGTGGATTGAAATCTAGAAAATAGTTAAACGATTGATCGTTTATATATTAACCAATAATAAAGAACAACTTAAGCTATACAATTAGAATTAAATAAAGAAAATAAAAGAAGAAAGAAGAAAATTCAGTCACGCAGTTCGAATACTTTAAGCCAATACTCTCACAATATTTAACCATGCTTATCCATGGCTTTTATCACTTTCAACAGCTTAGAAAGAAAACTTTCCCCTGGTGCAAAATCCATCAGTCCGTTAAAGACTCACGGAAATCCATGCAAATAAAAAAAAAAGGAAAGTTGTGCAAGAGAGAGAAAGAGAGAGAGAGAGAGGGAGAGGGAGAGGGAGAAATCATTAAATTAGTTCCCGTTCAACGCCTTTGCAAGATTATGCCGCCATTTTAAGTGGATGATTCCAGCACGTTCGTGGAATCGTTTTTCTTTCTCGTTTTCTTTAAAAACTTTCTGACACCGAGAGCGAGCACGGGCATTAGAATTCTCTGAGTTCTCTTCTATTTGTATACACTAAGTTCTTACGGCTTTGGTCAAATTCGAACAGCTGGCGTCGTTGGAATAGGTAATAAAGGCTTCCAAGATTATGACACTTTCTTGAGAATATCAAACGTTTTCTTGGTCATCATCTGCGGGTCATCATTGGCGAGAAGGAGAGGGAGTTACATCTGCCATCTAAAAATACTCATCCTTTTCTTTTTTTTGCTTTCGGTAAAAGTTAAAGGAAAAAGATTTAGCGAGTGCCCGCTAGGTGGTCCTCTTTGACCACTTAGCCCGTTTTGTGAAACCGGCCAATGGCTGTGTTTCGCCATTCGCTACCTCGATCGCTACGAACCAGTCATCTTTTCCACTGCTCTGTAATCAGCGGCTTCGTCTTGCTCATTAGCACGTCTTTCGGTGAGTTCGCGGATTTCAATAAAGCTGCTGATGCTCCTGCTGCTGCTGCTGCTGCTGCTGTTGTTGTTGTTGCTTGGAACAGGAAGAAACTTCAATCTCTTATTGAATTTCTATACGTTCGTAATGATTCACGAGGGATGTTTTTGCAAATTGCTGCACTCATCATTTTGTCATTTTCCAAGTTTTATTCGAAACTTTTAAGAACGTCATCTTCAAATTAAAGTTGTTTTTTTTTCTTCTTTGGACTAAATTACGTACAATTTTAATATTACAAAAATGTGCTTGTGAATAAGATAAAAATACAGTTTATATTCTTTGTGAAATCTTTTTCTTTAGTTTTAGTTTCAAACGAGAAAGGATTCTCGATTTATCGTCACACCTTTTGGTAATAAACAAATCGAATAAGAATAAGAACAATAATATCAATTATGATGAAAGTAAAAAAGAGAGAGAATACTTTTCTCTACCTAACAAGAGATTTATATCGTAGCGTACACCAAATATGGATTTCGCACCTTGCCCTGCAAGCCGAGTCACGAAGAATAATGCGAGTGTCCCAGAAACACGCAGATTTCTCACCTCTCCGGTGCGAGTATGCCGTTTAAGGTGTCCCAAAGTATTCGACAGTTTGCTGAAGGGGAAAACGATTACACGCCAGTTAATTTCAGTAACGACAGTCATACCATATCCGGTTTAAGTGAATTTCGATATACCCGTCGAAGTTATCTGCATATAATGGGACTATTAGATTGAATTTCTCGATAATACCTTACCCCGATTCAACCATTTTCTTTTGCGAATTTTAACAATTCTCCATTGTCTTTGCAATCGTATTTCCTAACTTGTAAAAAGA